ATACATTTAGAAGCAAAATAATTAACTGGAAATTATGGAAATTTTAATTCAATATATCTGGAAATGGGCTTTGGAGAAGCAAATGGAAGATTTTTGACATTTTTGACTTTTTGTGTGGGAGAAGACTCCTGAGAATGCCATGACCGCAAGAAAAAAAATAAGTAGATCATCAATAAATCAAACCAGAATTCTCACTCAAGGCATAAAGGTCTAATCTCAAATTGTCCTACTTCAGACACATTATATGAGGCCTAGTTCTCTGGAGAAGGCTCTAATACTGAAAAAGAAGAAGATGACAACCAGCAGAAAAATGGATGGACTCAATTACAGTGGTGATTAGATCAGGGATAGACGATCATAGGCAAAACGTTTATGTGACTAAAAGGAAGTGCGAATGACCTGATGGTACATAAGCAAGCAAGCAGTATCAGGAAGACTAAAGAAGGTGGATACCAGAAACAAATAGGATCCATACTTCTAAGGAAATATGGAAATATTCATGACATTGCATACTTGTATTTTAATTGCTAAAATAAAAAAGGAGAGTTTCCAAGAATGTGAAAATGAAACCAGATTTTTTTTCTATCTTGAGGCTTTTTCTAACCAAATAGTAAAAAACAATATGTGGCTTATATCTCTAAAACAATTATTTCATTGTTTTAAAACTTCATTATTGAAATATATGTCCACATTATCATTTCCCAAGTATATACTCTGGTTTCCTAGCCATTTTCATCTAGATATCCATGGTTTCCTAATCCAATTGGCCAAAAATACTGCACATTATGCTGAGTGGATGGTTTGATTTCTGAGTAGCAAACTGCATTCCTTGGTTTAATTTCAGAAGTTCTTCTACAATAGATAGGTCAGGTTTGTGATAAGAGAAAGCTGTCAGTTTCTCACAGCATGTTCCTTGAGGGGGAGAAAGGTGGGTATCACGAAGAAAATGAGAAAGAAGAAAAGGCTGACAGAAAAGAATGGGTAACTCATCAACTAGTTCCCTGAGCCATTCATATCATGCAGGCCTCAACAGATTACTCTCTGATGGAAATGTGACTCTTAATAGGGTGGGGGAGATGATGCTATCCCTGACATTATGACTGATATGCACACAATATCTATCTGCACAACTTCACCTCTATTGGTTCTTTATGCCTATTATTTATTCTGTTTATTATTATTTTAATGAATCCTGTAAACTGTACAAAGGGACATGGAAAAGCAAGGCTTTGGTTTCCTACCTCCTTTCCAAATGCATGGTGATGCATGAGATAGTGTCAAAGGCAAAAAATAATAGGAACAGTCACTGATATTATTCAGAAAAGTCTTCAAGCAAACTGAACTGGAAACATTTAGTTCAGCATCTTTTTTCCACAGAGATAGAATACATGCCTATGGGAAGTCCACAAGAAGAACAGAAGATAAATAGTTGTCTTCCACTATTATTCATCTTCTGGGGTACTCTTTTTAGGAAGGATTGTTGTCACTGATAGCAAAAGATATGCATCAATTTACCCTCTCAACTAAGCCCAAAAAATTATCTTCGGCTAAAAAAATGGCATTTTCTTGCCATTGTCTGTACCACCTTGTCTGGGTAGTACCAACAACTTACCCAATTATTCTATACTTATTTGGTATATTTTGATAAAAAATAAAATCTGCCATCAGGAGGAATTTGCCTGAGATACCACCACTTATAAAGCCCCATTATTATTATTTTTTCAGAAGATTTAGATAGGAACTTGAGTCTTAATTATTAATAAAGCTTCAGACAAGGTTTTTGTTGTTGTTGAAGATGACAACAACAATACTTGACTGTTACATGCTCATCTACTAAATAAAACTGAAAATTTTTAAATAAAAGCATACAGTGAATTGCAAAATTTTACAGTAACTTAAATCTATAATTTAAATGCTTATATTGTATCAGACAATAGCTTTTATATGTTTATATTATTTTATGCTACTTGATGCTTTATTTTTTATTTTGTGTTAATTAACTGTATGTTCTGCCTGTGAAATTTTAATTCTTAGGCAAATTAAAAATACAATAAAGTATTATACTGTTTACTACTATTATTGTTTGCCATCAGGTTTTATTAGAGGTTCCTGCTGGCAGCTTCAGATGTTGTTAATAATAAACATTAATAGTATGCTCCTATATGAATTTAATTCCATTTTAAGGCCATGCCAGTTGGTAGTCATCACTTCCTCTCGCAATAAATTAGCAACTCTATCATTTGTCTTCCTGCACCCTAGTTGCTCTTTTATTGAATTTGAAAATCCCAACTAATTCTATATTACATATAAGTCATTTCAGCTTTTCATTCTTATGCTCCATTCTGGTTGCATTTTTCAGATCCTACAACATCCCTGAATACTGGGAACTTTACCAATCTATTTTATGAAATCATGGAATGAAGTCTAAGAATGAGATAGCACAGTATATTTTTTCCTAGAGATGGTGTCAAATGCCTTGTCATCTTCAGTCACATCCTCCTTTCTGATAATTCATGAGGTTGGGCATTTGGTAGAGCAGCTTTTCAGTCTGAAACTCAGCCAGGAGAAGTATTGCTTGAGGCACTAACAAACAGGTTCCCCTTGCATAAGCCAAGAATTGATCCATGATGTGTTCAGCTTGAACTGCTGGGCCATCTGTCAACACAGGCTGTACCTTGTTTTCTGCCCTTGCTAGATTACCCCATAATTGCTCAAAGTACCAACAGGCAGTAAGATGGAATCATTAATTTGTAACTGATCAGTTTTCACTGCCCATTTCCCATCCTCTTCATTTCAACTTCCCTTTCTATTACATCTGTCCTATGTTGATATTTCTTTCTGCCAAGAAACAACATGCCACATAATAGCTTTAAAACTGTGGATTGCTCTGAAACTGCCCTTCTTTTAGGGTTATTAATAGGCCAAGTATCCACAGTGTATGTTTCTCATTGTGTATATCACCTGTAAAGTCAAGGGGGTCATCTGGATATGTATATGCATCTGGCTGCAATAGGGAATTCTGTTCAGCTACCAATCTGCACAAGTTTATTACATGTTTATAAGTAGCACTGTGGGATATAACAAGTAAAATGTCATGTACCTCTGCAGACTCTATTATTGTTCATCTGTGTACTGATATGGATTGTAACTACCTCCTAATATGTTCCACTCTCTGGAATATCTTTTTCTGGGCTTTGCTGTTCCATAATCCTGCTTTCAGCCAAAATTGTAAAAATTCAGCTCATAGTATGGTGTTAAATTAGAATCTTTCAGTAGTGTTCAGTAAATTTCAGTAGTGTGACTATTGCTTCATATAGGGATGTGAATGTCAGAGGGTTAATGTCTTTCAATAAATGGGAGAATCTCATGGGGTTTAGGAGTTCTTTTATTCTTCTTTCATACTGATACATGTTGTGGCTTTCAACAAATCACTCTATTCTCAGCCATAATAGAGTATTGCAAAGTTGTGCAGGTTGGAATTATCCTGATAAGTGACTATACAATTAAAAGATGATATATTGACTGTCATTCTAGAGTCTTGTTTCAGTACTTTTAAAAAACAGAATATATTTAGTACAAACCCAATTGTGCTATTTACGTAGTTCATGCACAAACTATTTCTTAGAATAAGAATTTGGCATTGTTGCCACTGCTCACCATTTTTCTCTTGCCATTATCAGTCTCCTTTGGAGGAAAGATAAAGGAAAACTTTCAACTGCATCTCCAAAACTCTTTTGCATCTGTGCCAAACTGTGAGAGCTCTTTGAAATGCAACAAGAGAAATGTTAGCAGTGAACTTAGGAAGGCTTTGTTTGTTTAAAGTTTTTAACCAATGATTTTTCTTGTATTCACATTCATTCTTAATTTTAGCATTGCAATATTGAAGGTATGTTCTTGTTTGTTGAATGGTTGCCTTTTCTTTATTTTTTTATTCTCATTTGTTGTTAGGTTTTGTAGCATTTTAAAAACATGATTAATATTTAAAGTTGATTTATAAATCACTATTGAAAAGTGATGAATCTCTAAAACAAGTCAAAGGAAGAAAGCCTTAGTTATTGTGTGATTGACATAGAACTTCAACATTTCATGGGATTTCATCGTGGTTACCTGGTTTTAACACTCTTACATTGCATCTGGTATGATTTCACTAATGTTGGGGGGGGGAGTGTACATTTTTGATAAACATTTGTTTCATTTCAGCTCAGCAGCTCAGGAGAGCTTCACTGATCAAGCACGTTGTTTAAAGGATGCTAATACTTTTGAAAAAGAAAAATCCCTAGCAATATGTAGAATGACTTGAGTATGAATTAAGAAGAGAATTGGCTAATGCAGTTCATATTGGGTTATATGACAGCCAATTCTCTATAGCTAGCCTAGTGGGGAATGTTTTTTTCTCCTGACAACCACTCCTCTTAGGAATCTCTTCCCCTTTATTTAAAGTTAAGGGACATTTTAAGATCTCTTTCAATTGTATTTACGGTAACATATAATTTCCTTCTAATAGGCATCCAAAGCATAGTTTGAATCTTGTTTCAAACATTAGCTTCATATATTGTGCTAGATTGCACATAGCATGTGTGAACATAGCCATTAGATAAAATTGCATTCAAATTAACCAGTGATATACTCCTTATCAATATACTACTTATTTAAAAAAATGCATTTAGGTGGTGGCATTCCTTCCAGAGAGTAAGGGAGATATATGAAGAGTGAACCATTTATTTCCAAAGCTGACTTCTGAACAGATAACCACACTTAGCAAGTCATTGTTATATCTTATTTGCCTTTCTATGTGCCACTTTTACTGTCATTTCAGTAAAAGCAGAGGGAGATTGAGCAAATTATTTATATTTCAGGCCCCATGAGTCTTAAATTAACATTGATAAGTATTTTATATGGAAAAGTTAGCAGAGCTAGACTTTCTTTCTTAGGGTATTGAAGAAACAATATAAGTGCAATTGCCTTAAATTTCCTTTATTATTATTTTTGTCTCTCTCTAGGTGTCCCAGATTCCTGTTGAATCCTGTGAACAGTATACAACCTGTGGAGAATGTCTGAGTTCAGGAGACCCTCACTGTGGCTGGTGTGCTCTGCATCACATGTAAGTTCAGCATCAACAAAAGATGGTTATCACAAGATAAACCCTACACCTTTTAATTCACGCCACGTGCATCCTCTGTTATTATTTAATAAAACCCTTTCGGTTCCTTTAAGATTTTTTTTAGCTGTGGATACAGAAAATATCTGCCTTGTGAAAGAAATATAAATACAGTTAAGATAATAAAAATAAAACAACTGATTCCAGGAATGGAGCCATGAATATACAAATCTTTTACTAAAGAGAAATATGATATCATTTTAAAAGAACCTCTAAGCAGAATTAATGCAATACTGTTTATAATGAGACTGGAATTGTGATGCATCATTTAGCCTTATAAATAAAAATAGTGGTATATTTCCAACCTTTAATTAATTACATACATACAGTATTTTTACTATAAAATAAATGTATTCATGAGGGTTTTTATTTTAACGTATGCAAGAAGCAATCACAATCTTTAGAAAAAAACAATCTCAGGCTGAATTTGTAATGTAGCTACCTTCCTCATACTTTGTTTTGTACTCCTGTCTTCTTTTCCACAAAACAAGCTAATACACACCTGCCAAGAGACTTTCTTGGCATCAGTCACTTCCTTTCAACTGTAACTTAATAGAATCACTGCTTAAATACTCCGTAGAATTTCAGAAACGCTAGATTCTTCAGCCTCTGATTTAAACCTTTTAAAGCAATGAAATTGCCCAGGCTTGCTAGCCTAAGTGTTCTCTCCTGAGCTTGAGGATGTCTCTCAAGACAAAGGAGAAAGGTTTTCTAGGCAAGATCTTAAGGGAATCTGAGGGAGATGTGCCACTGAATTATTGAAGTGCTCAGTTCTTTTTTTGCCTTAATGACCATGCTTCTTTAAGCAGAAGAAGTCTCCAAAATCTAAAAGAGGGAGAGGTCAGTAGTTCACTTAAGAAAAGAAAGATGATTTCTCTATGTATTTAATTGTATCTCCCACCCCAAAACACTATTAAATGTAAAGACAGAGGGGACCAACAAAATATCAACTGGTCAAAGGACTCTGCAACAGATGTTGGAAGAGGGATAAGGAAATCATGGAGAAAAGCTAATAAGCTAATTGGATCAACACTCCATTTGCAGCAGGTTTAGTTCAATGCCGCAATGTGTCGGAAGGTATTTATTTCATCATTGGATGTTTATTGCCATCTCTTTTTTTAAAAAAAGAGGAGGAAGAATAAGACAATACTGCTTCTCATACCACTTTTTATCACCACCTTGTACTCAAAATAAAACATTCAAAAGTTTATTAAACAGGACATTATACTTTGTGCATTTGCTTAAATGCCTCCCTGAAGAGAAAGATCTAGATTTTTAGAACTGACTTTTCTTGAGTTTTTGCAACATTTGTGTTGCTAATATTCTGTTAATATAAGGCAACAGTCCCAAGACTACTTGGGACATCAAAATTAGCAAGGATTTATTATACAGTATAAGGCAGAGCATGTGTTTTGCATGGTTAGATGCTGGGTTGGACGTTAGCAATCTTGTGTTCAAGACCCATGTGGTGCCATGGGATGGAATGAGCTCTTGTCCTTTGCTCCAGCTCCTGTCAGGGACATGAAAGGAATCCCAAGTGGGCTTTCCCCAAGCAACAGTGATCTCACCAGCTTCTCCTTCCTACCTAGAAGACCTCAATATTTCTGAAATAAGTCCAATGCAATCATAAAGGACATAAATATAATATGTATTCCTCCTGATCATATACTATATATAATTGTTTTCTCTTTCCCAATCATCTCAATCAAAGTGATATGACATATACCAAGGCAATGTTTTTTTCCCCCTCTTCATACTACATAGAAGAGTGCCTATTTTTGGAAACATATTTGCACTCATGTTCTATGATTTATTTCATTTTCATCTGACAGATCTTGCTTCAAAGTGAAGAGCCTCCATTTGTCCAGGCTTTCATGTATCCCATCACAAATTGTAGATCTCTTCTGAGTGTTTCCAGAGCAGGATACTCTAAATGTACTTATCTTCTGGTTTATTTTGAGCAAATAATCAGGAAAACTTCTAGACTTGGTACTATCTACAACTCTGCAAGCTCACAAATGGTGTTTCATTAATAACATTCATTATTCAGCCTGGGAGATTCAACTTCTCAGTTAAATGGAAAGGCAGTAGGCAGTGTTTTGGATTTGGTGTGGCCGAAGTACACAGCACCTTTCAGCATTCACTTAAATTGTGACTCTTCTGGAGATCTCACTGGAGCAGGAAGTTGCAGGAAAAGACACATTTGGTTTAAGCAGTTGCAATCAGGTGCATTATGTACAACACGTAAAAGGTAGTTTATGATGCAAATCTTTGCCTTAAAATTCAAAGGGGATGAAAGTTGTGTTCCTCATTTTCTTCTGTTCATTTTTATCTCACAGTGGCTGGCACCCATCAGAAGAATGCTAAAGAATCTCCTTCATTCTGTGATTTCTATAACTGGCATTATGTCCAGAGCTATTTATCTCTGTTAAGGCAGTTGCCATAAGTATGATGAAAAAAGAAGAGGCACTGAGAAAGACAATGAGATAAAGGCTCCACCCAAAAACTCACAGTTTAGAACAATCTCACTATTCCTGATACTCTCGCCCACAGTTCGGCAGAGACTCTGGCTGCTGCCTGGCACTCGGCAGCATCAGAGTCCCTTGACCGGATTGCGCCACTACGGCCCCTCCGGGTCGGCGGATCCCAGAGGCCTCCTTGGTTCACCGAGGAGCTCCGGGAGATGAAGCGCCAGAGGAGACGCCTAGAGCACTTGTGGAGGTCCGATAGGTCCGAATCGAACCGAGCACTCTTAACAACCTGCACCAAAGAGTACATCAGGGCATTGAGGACAGCTAAAAGAACGTATATTGCCACCTTGGTTGCGTCCGCTGAGTCCCGCCCAGCCGCCCTGTTTAGGA